GCTGGTTGGGGTGGTTGGGTTGGGTTGGACTAGGTTAGGTAAGTTTAGGTTAGTTTAGTTTAGGATAGATATGAATACCTATTTTTTTTTGTAAGTTGAATTACTTTTTTCATTTTGTAGCATCATATGCCTTCCATCTTTGAACTGCCATATTCAAGCACCAGAATAAGTGTGGACTTGAACCTTTTCCAGTCTGGATGCCTGTATGGAAGTTGTGCAAAATCATGCAGCTGAAGGTATTGTAACCACAAATAAGAGCTCATGACTCAAGTCTCAACTTGTCCATAATTGGTTATCTTGATGTATACTTGTAGACCCTTCCTCTTACTTGGCACACAGGCATGGTGTCACAGTGTTCTAAAATTGGATTTCAATTGGGTGTCCCAACAAAAAAAATCTGAAGACAAAATGAGATAGATTTAGTCTTTCCGCAAAACTGCATAATGCCATTTTTTACCTCAGATTTTGTCAGAACCTTCACAGGATCTGAAATGAAATGATGTAGAGAAGATGCATCAACTGTCAAGTCATGCGTAACCTGGCAGCTGGCTGTTGAATCAAACTTTTGACATATTTTTTTTAGCAAAGATGAAATAAAGCCACTTGTCATATTTTTAGGATGAAAATATTTTCCCCATCATGTGTGGTTATTAACCTAAAATTCTGAAACATGGAACACTGTGATACCAGCATTCCATCATGTCAACCAGCATTCCGCAGCATGTTAGCAGAAGCAGCAGCATGTTATAAGTATATGAAAGATCCAAATAGGTTGTAGGTTGGTAGGTATTGGTACTAAGTTTAACTTAATAGGTTAGTAGGCAAGGTTAGGATTAATTTTAGTTGAGCATCAAGATAACCATTACGAACAAGTAACAAAATCCTTACCTACCCTTGAAAGCATTGCTTCAATCACATCATCACAAAGAACCAGACAAAAATTTTGCACATTCTTACACTATTTGACATCCTGAATCCAGAGATGATGCTTTCATGTGGCGCAAATACAAGAAAAACGAATAATCAAACCCGTGCGTATTCGTATCAACGGCGCCACAATTGTAGATCAGACCTTTTCTGAACAAATGCCACCACAATTTTAATTGATAAGGGATTAAAATGGCATGAGCATCAACATCTTGATTTTTTCTAAAAGATAGCGATAACTGATAACTAATAACTTACCATTCATTTTGAAATCACGGCGGTAGGTACACCAACACATGGCACTGAAAACAGCAAAAGACGGAATGGCGGAATGTCGTATGGAGCCCTAAAACGCAGCTCGAATTGAGCCCGAAAAGGAAGACGAACTGAGCCCGAAAAGGAAGACGAACTGAAGCCAGGCCCATGTCGTCCCCTATCTCCCTGTGTGTCCAGGTGCACAGATGACGTCACATGAAGGGGCGGAGTCGGGGGCGGAGCCTGGCGCAACGGCCGCCATATTTGAATTTGTTTTATTAGAATGTATTCTATATTTTGGGTTTCAGTCAATTGTTATCGATAGTTTTATGAGCGGTTAGCTGTAATATAAGTGAGTTATCAAGAAAAAACACATATTCTGCTTGCAATTTCGATTTAAGTACGACCCGCGCCCAGATTCGAACGCACGATCTTTGGATTACGGCGCGAGCATCCTAACCACTACACTACCGCGGCGGCGTGGCGGCCGGCGGAAGGGAGGCTGCGGAGGCATGGGGGCTTTTTTACGCATTTTTGGAAAAACTAATGGGTTTAGTGAAAAACGCTTTTTAGATAATTCGAAGAAAAATGTCTCGGCTTTCCGATGATGCACTTAGTTTTGTGCTAGCTTTAGCAGAGTTTGTCCTACAGTGCTTCAAAAATCGCCCATTTGCACAGGACTTTAACGGGACTTCAAGACTTGCCCCCAGATGACGTCACGAGCTGACGTCACGATCAGGTAGAATCGCCGGACGACCCTACCTGGTATATAGGGCCTTGCTGAAGCCGCTTTCGGGGCTAATGTACTTTGAGCCCGAAAAGGGCGCCTAACTGATACCGATTTTAAAATCATACAGATTTGAGCCCTGTTTTGGCACTCATATGAGCCCTTATTCAAAAATGTTCTCAAAGTGTTTTCTGAGTGTAGATGCGACCGACTGTCTCTGAATGTTTGAGCGGTCTCCTCCCGCTGTGAGCTAGTTTCAGTTGAAATCTGTCTCAGAAATACTTTTTAAAGGAAGTTAAACGAAAATCCAACGTAAAATGAACAGAGCAAATGGTAACGAGTTACCTCATTGAAGAGTAGCGCTCGCCTACTTCAAGAGGTTTGGCACCGTTCTTCAACATCTGATATGCGATCGGGTTATGGCACAATTTTTTCCCATTGGAGCTTTTTTTCTAATACAGCAATACGAAATGCGTTACATCGTCCATTGGCGGATCCAGGGAGCGGGCATTTAAAGCAAATATTTACTCCCCCTCCCCCTGGCCCGAAATAGACAAAACGTACCTTATGTTTCCTAATAATAACATTTTTGTCAGGATTTTTTTTATACTGTTCAGCAGTATCTATAGTAACGTAAGGAATCGAAATCCGAGGAGTTTTTGAATTTTGGACACTTTTTGGGGGGGTATGTCCCCTACAGCGTCGAAAACGCCTTTCTGGATCCGCCTATGACATCATCTCGACTGGGATCTTGCCCCCCCACGCCAAAATCGAATCCGCCGCCACTGGTGTAAAAGGCTGTCTTCGGATAGTCACGAGTCTCACGTCAGAGTATGGATCGTTCATCTGTCTGAAACACGCCTAACTACCTCCAAGAGATATAAGTTAACACGTTGCAATGCCTAAGTGAAAAGAATGTGTTCCTGTAGAATAAAATAGACACCGTTAAAACCTGGTACAGTCCAGCAGTCATGCCAAACTAAGAGTTGCTTCATTCAACTCGCGTGCATCATTTTTCAGGTTATTCCCTTCGCACATTCCAAACACACGATACTCAGCCACCGCTCATAGTAAGCAGAGTAGTGGAGATTCGAACTGTAAATGACCCGCCCGATTGACGCGACAGTGCGCTGTCATCCATGTTCACGTGTCAGCCCGGTCACGCCTGGTGGCCACGTGACGGTAACATCCCGCTGCCCTCAGCCCGGCGGTGTCCGGATCCCTCAGCCCAGTGGTATCCTGGTTCCTCAGCCCAGTGGTATCCTGGATCTCTCCGCCCGACAGTGGTGACCGCGCCGCTCTCCAGTATTTCACCGGGCAGAATGTGTCCGAGAGAGGCTGGCGACAGTCGCGGCAGCGGCCACCGCGCCGCCTGCAGTCGACTGCCGCCAACAGCAGACCCCTACGGCCGGCCCTCGGAACGGCAACGGTACGGGCCGTCCTCTGCGTCATCGGTCTATATTCGGAATAAAATCCCATTAGGATGATCATCGGCACAAAAGTTTAAGCTGCTTTCCGAGTCGGTTCAGCGAGCGGCGCTCTCTGCAGGGCTCTGCTGGGGACGAGCGGACGGCGCGGTCCGATCGAGCTGTGTGCATATTGAGGCGAACTTGTGTAAACTTTGCAGACGACCTGTTGAATTTATGGTTGTGTAACATAGTTTACAACCATATTTATAGAATTGTTTATTGCATCTGTAAATAAATTACAAGAAGAAATAATTCGAAGCGTTATTGCAATCAGTCGTTCGTTGTTGTTGACTGCACATCATGCTTACAATGCAAAACATGAGATTTGCTACCTGACGGAATCGTGATGTTGATCACCAAGAAACATCTCCATCTGAATAACACTGCACTTTGGTATGCTTTGTAGCTGTATGTTCATCGCTTTGATTCACTTGCTTTCCATTTCCCCAGCCATGGACCTTAGATGTTGTGGGTAGTGTTCCAACACTTTTTTAATGAATGTTGCAGCAATTACATTCAAGTGGCCAAGATTATCAGTGTAGAAATTACAAACAAAACTTTTTTGCCCATTGACCTCTTCGGGCTGTATCAGCCATACGTTAAAAACAACATCAACGCATTGTCTCTGCGCCTGACGATCACAGCTAAGCCCCAAGCCCGTGGACAGGATAGGATGGGAACGACAGCAAATCGATCGGCTGGCTTTCACCGAACACATGGTGCGCATGTGTGTTTTTCATGGTCAGATACCGGGATGGAGCTGTTCACTGACGGCTGCCGATCCGATAGAATTACTGGGTCCACCTACACATACCGGAGTACATTGCGCCGAGACACGGAGCTCACCGGCTAATGCTGATGACGAGCAGTGTGTTCAGTTTACCGGTAAATGGCATACAGGCACGGGATGCAATCACTGGTCAGAGTCAGATATATGGTATGACAGGTAAAGGATGAAGCGGGCATTTTCTGTAGAATTGTTCGGTCTGCACTGTTGTGCGCATTAAGCAAGAATAGGCACAAGAAATCTTTCAAGGTATGAATGACGAATGCATGAATGCTTGTCTGTGCATCACTAGTTCTTTCTTTATATCATGTCCTTTCCTTTTTATAGTTGTCCTTTTTATATGAGTACTCCCATGTGACACAGCGAGATGTGAGAGCCCTTAACTCATCGGCGAAGTGTGAGCGTGATTCCGACTCACGGGCGGAGTGTGAGCGTGATTCCGACTCAAGGGCGGATAGTGAGTTAGTGTAACTCACGGAAGTGTGAACATGCGCAGCTCACAGAGGACTGGTGAGAGCGTGTCTCCGACTCACGGAGGAGATGTGAGCGTGTGCAGCTCACGGAGAAATTGTGTGAGAGCGTGTCCCCGACTCACGGACTGAGTGAGAGCGTGTGCTGCTCACAGACGAGGTGAGAGCGTGTGCTGCTCACAGACGAGGTGAGAGCGTGTGCAGCTTCCGTGGGAGGTATTTTAGCGTGTGCTGCTCACGGAGGACTGGTGAGAGAGCGTCCCCGACTCACCGAGGTACTCCTGTGAGAGGACTGGTGAGAGAGCGTCCCCGACTCACCGAAGTACTCCTGTGAGAGGACTGGTGAGAGTGCGTCCGCTACTCACCGGTGAGAAGTAGGTGGGCGTGACGTACGAGCTGGTGTAGTAGGTGGTGCCGGCCGGCTCGCGGCTGATGCGGTAGCTGCTGCTGTAGCGCGGGTAGTAGCTCATGGTGCCGACTGGTGACCTGACCCGCTGACCTGACCTGATCTGACCTGACCTGACCTGACCGGAGCCGCCGCACTGACCGACCACCTGCGACCGACTGCGGGTAGGTGCGGCGCCGCCCTCTGCTGGCCGCCGCCGCCCCCGGCGCCCGGAATAGAGCCAGCGCCCGCAGCCAGCACTGTGCCCCCTGCCCCCTGTTCCCCAGCCCCCCCCGACCCTGGCTGGATGGGCTGGGTGGGGGCGGATCAACACGGGGAGAGATTTCAAACGAAACTCAAACATATTTTCAGAAAGGCAGGTGATATCCAGAGTTGTAACGAATGAGATAGGGAGAAACGAGGCAATGATGTGGATGGCTCACTTCGAGAAGACAATTATATAGGTATGTTATTCTATGATTCACGATTTATCCAAGGCCAGTGATGAAAAATACTTGATGCGCATTTCTTTGGCATGATCCAAAGGCAAAGTCTGTCATCTTTGTCTGGGCAAAGATGGTCATCTTTGCCCAGACAATAATTTGGCGGCCGTCAGTCGCCCCGTACTAAATCTGAAGATGACTTTTTGTCCGGAACCCCTCTTCCCCACTGTCCCGGCGACTCCCGCTGCTGAGAGCACCTCTCCCCGTGTCCTGCTGTGGCACTGACACCACTCTGGAGGTTAGAGTAAACAGGCGCCGAGGGTCGCCAGGGCAGCTGTCGGTCGCCGAGGGTCGCCAGGGCGGCTGTCGGTCGCCGCCGAGCGCTCAGGATCAGCTGTCAGACGGCTCCGGTCGCCGCCGGGCGCGGAGTAGTCTGTCTCCCCGGCCCGCGGCCCGCTCCGGAGCTGGAGTCCAGCCAGCGTCCAATGGCACCCCGGCGTGGCACGCGGCAGCGGGGCCAGCTGGACATCCGGCTGTGTGCGCCGCTGAGCGTCACTGGTGTGTGCCGGTAGCGTGCATGGGCAATGGATGGAGACATAGAACAGAGGCCGTCGAAAGAAAAAGACACATGTTCACATTTTCCTCAATCGCTCTGCTACTAACATGCCTTTGTAGGTATGTATATGGATGCTTCGTAAAATCATGCATTAAAGGGACTATCCCACCTTTAACATGGGGTTTGAGTTGAGATAGCCAAGTTTGCGGCGAGGTTCAGAAACCACTATCTATCTAGGTTGCAACCCCCGCGGCCTCTTGGTGTTGAAGAAATTCGTTCCCTTCATTTGAAAATGGGCCTTGTACAAGGCCCTATCTTCAACATGGAGCGGCCGTTAGTGTGACGTCACCTCGTTTAGTCATTCTGATTTAAATGGGTTTGTTCGTTGAAAAATCGCTTAAAACTTGGTCTGAGCTTTGTTGTGGTGCCTACAGAGTAAAAAGAATCAGCTTTATGACAGTAATGTGGCCTGGGGAAGGAGGTAATTTTGGGCTGTGACGTCACATATTTGAAAGTTTGTGTTTGGAATATGGGAAGCCTAAGATGTTTAATGAAAAATAAATGCCAGAACCGTGTTCCTGGTCATCCAATCTATAAAGTCGGGCACAATTTAACTGGTTTTAACAACATTTTAGAAGGTGCGATAGTCCCTTTAACAGTTTATCTACGAGTCGTTATATGTGAATTTATTTATGCATGCCATCATAATTTTTACAGCGAAAGGACAGCTTGTTCAGGAGGGAGCAAGGCATGCTTAGGCACTCTGGCCAGGGGGGGTGGAATCCAGAGACATTTCGAAATCAAATCCCACACATAAATACAGGAGCTTACAACAGAGACACAGCACGGCATTGTCGAGGGCTTCCCTGCAGTTACATGAAAATGCTAGGAAGTTCTGGGTGGTACTTACCGCTCACTCAAAATGTGCGAAGATAAGTTCAGTCTTTGAACGCTCTTGTCTGTGATGTAGCTACATATGACCTATAATGCCCGGCTACCTAAAATAATTCCTCCTTATTTGTACGAGTGAAAACGCATCTGACAACATGTATATTGTAGATATAGCCCCTTTTCATGCGGTACAGCATGAATGGGGCCATCGAGTCCTGCGGCACAGCATGCATCAGGCGCAGGTACCAGAGCCATCTACCGTTTATATCAGAAACTACCAGGCCGTGCGGCACAGCATGCATCAGGCGCAGATAGTAGAGCCATCTACTGTTCATATCAGGAACTACCAGGCCTTGCGGCACAGCATGTATCAGGCGCAGGTACCAGAGCCATCTGCCGTTTATATCAGGAACTACCAAGCCGTGCGGTACAGCATGCAGCAGGCGCAGATAGTAGAGTCATCTACTGTTCATATCAGGAACTACCAGGCCTTGCGTCACAGCATGTATCAGGCGCAAACGCTAGAGCCATCTACCGTTCATATCAGGAACTAATAAGCCGTGCGGCACAGTATGTATCAGGCGCAGATAGTAGAGCCATCTACTGTTCATATCAGGAACTACGAGGCCTTGCGGCACAGCATCAATCAGGCGCAGATGCCAGAGCCATCTATTGCTTGTATTAGGAACTATCAAGCTATGACTCACATGGGGCACTGCGGTGATCGAAGTTAGTAAGTTAGGATACGGTGCAAACGAGATAAAAGAAAGGGAGAGAGAGGGAGAGAGAAAAAGAGAGTAAGAGAGAGAGAGAGAGAGAAAGGGAGGGAGAGAGAGAGAGAGAGAGAGAGAGAGAGAGAGAGAGAGAGAGAGAGAGAGACAGACAGACAGACAGACAGACAGACAGACAGACAGACAGACAGACAGACAGACAGACAGACAGACAGACAGATAGACAGAGAGACAGAGACATGAGAAAATATCGTCATCACTGATATTAATAAGAAATCTTAAACCCCTAAGTCCTAACCCTTCCTAAGCAAGTCACCAATGACAACTGTAGGTAGCAGTGTTAATCACTCAGCCGGCAGCCGGGCTCGTCACGGCCAGTGCCGCAGTGGCAGAGAGCCACGCTCGCTCTGAGTGGCCGCGGCTGGAGAGAGGGCTTCCTCTGTCAGTTAGTTGGCACCCCCGGCCGGCGGGGAGCGGAGCCGATCCCGCGCCGGTCTCATGCTGAGCCCCCTGAGGACGCTGTCGGTGACGTCATCGCACTAGGTGTGTGACGTCACCGCCATCTCTGTCAACGGGCGGCCCCGAATGGAGTGGATGAGGCCAGACGTTGGCGTCCAGTTGGCTGCCGCCGACGCGGCCTGACCTGGCCACTGTCCAGTGTCCAGTGTCCATCGCCCATGACAGCGTCACTCACTTGTCGATTGCTTTGCTTCTTTGAGTTTAAATTTTATCAAATGGGTGCCGAATGTTCCGCCGAGGAAAGGACTGATAGGAAGTTTAAAGGGACACTCCCACCTTAACATTAGTTTTGAGTTGAGATAGCCAAATTGGTGGCCATGGCCTGCAAATACCGGTTTGGGCACTCACAACATCGACAAATGCTTTAATTCGGAGATATGGAATTTCAAACTTGCAGTTTTCGGATTCTAAGGGGCTAGTGCATTGGTATGCCCCCTTAGAATTTGTGACGTCAGCGGAGATCTAACGATTTTTAAATCTTTTACTAAAACGTTTGGTAGCACGCGGTGGTATATGCTGCTTTGCGCGCAACAAATGCCGCACTTTCAAATAAAGTCGCTAGGAACAGCGGAGATCCCAAAAAGTAAACAAAAGTAAAAGTCTAATATCTTGAAAACCGGTGAATATTTTTCGATGAAATTTGGTAGATATTCGTTTTCGCTCTTTCTGAACCGAGCGAAATCATTTTCGTGCCAATTCATTAACTTTTTTGAAGGTGGGAGGGTCCCTTTAAGAAATAGGAGGGAATAGGAAGTAGTAGAAGTAAGAATAAGAATAGAAAGTAAAAGTAGTAGAAAGTAGAAGTAGGAATAGGAAGAAGATTCACCATCAATCCCAAAGAAGAGCCTTAAATCGTGGAACCCACACCATAACAAAAAGGCTTTTAATAAATGTATGCATATGGTGCACCGAAACTAATATGACTATTATAACTAGTGCCCGAGTTTTTTAGCTACTAGGAATGGACACTGCATATTTAAAGTCAAATACGGTACATATTTCTAATTGACTTAACGGAGCGCACCTGACGCGAACTGTGAGCCCTAGTTTTTTTCAATACTGTGCGCTGATTGCCTTTTCATAGGTAAAATATACACGAGATGTATTTGTATGATATTAATGGTAAACAGTGCCAATTCTGAGGTCTGTCACTAATTTAACGTTTTCATTTGCCTACATATGGAACCAAAAAACATATAACCTATATTTCACCTTTGTCTTGACACTCTATCATGCATTCCAAGACTCTCTAGATTTAATACACCTTTGGTAATACTCATTGCTTTATGTGTCTTTATCAAAAAAGATACGAAACATGTGCAATGTGCATGAACTTACCATTATAGCAAATTAATTACAAACGTGATTATGGACCGCATAAGCATGCCGGAGCTTCCGTTTATAATACGGGGGCGGCCCGCGGGTGGTGATTCAGCATCAGCGGGTGAAAATGGCGCCCTATGTAAGCGGCGGAGCCAGGTGAGCGCGGGCCGCAGACCGGGTCGGAGCCGACCGGGGTGATTCGGCGCCCGGCGGCCCGTTCCAGGCCGTTCCAGCTGACTCAGTGTGGACTGTGGACGCTGCAACTCGATCACAGCCGCTGGCCAGACGCCCAAATCCGGGCCAGACCCGCCGGCCGGCTGGGACCCTATCAAAACAGGCTCCAGCTTCCAGCCGCAGCCGCGCCGCCAGCCTTTGAAGTCGGGCAGGCAGAGGCTGCAGCATTGTGCGAATTCGGAACAACTGGCTGGAGGGGGCGTGCCACTTTGCCAGACAACAGATGAGTGTAGCCCTGTCCGTGGGGTTTCACATGTAGGCCTGTCCGTGGGATTTCACGGTGGGTTATGAATGGACTCTGCGGTTTAGTTCCTGGTGGTTCTGCGGCGTTCTCCCGCTGGTTGATGGCCATCGTAGAGGTTGGGTCTGGTAAACGATCCCTCTCATAAGATTAGATGAAAGGCTGCGACGAATGGCCTATGAGAGAGTCGGCGCTGAAATAAAAGCTTAATATTCACGCATGACGAGCCTTGCTTTCAAAAAATGGAAAATAAAAC